AGTTATCAGTCACTTCAAAAAAGTATCGTTTTCCTCATGTTTAATGAGCATATTGCAGATGTTTATACATGCCTTCAAATGAACTTCTTTGAGTTCATGCGGAACAGAAATATTGAATGTGCTTATGTATCCCAGCTTCTTCAGGTGGTCGTGAATGCTTGAATGATGGATGTTCAATATTTCTGCAGTCTCTCATGTTGTGTAATGTGGGTTTGACTCAATCAATGCCTTTATTTTGTCATCATCAACCTCGGTGGGCCTCCCTGATAGAGGAGCATCGTTGAGATCAAAATCACCAGCACGGAATTTCGTGAACCATCGTTCTTGTAAAGCATTGTCACCGTAAACTTTATGTAACTTTTCACAAGCTTGATGCATGTTCTTCCCTTTATGGAAGTAAAACAGTAAAATATGGCAAAAATGCACAGTTTGGTCTTCCATCTTCAACTTGTTGTAAAATCTCCAAAACTCAACCAAATTGCTCCATTTTTTTTTTCAGAATAAAGCTATAATTGTCAGCTGTCAAATGACATAGCAATAACATAGATGTGAATGATTCTAGTACTTCCAAAAATGAACTAGTGCCATCTGTCGCAAACATGCGTCATGACTTTTCCAACAATCCAATACTTTGTAAGCCTGTCCTCAATGCATCATCCTAACATTGTTTGGCCAATAACATTCTGCGTGCAATGCTTCTGTTTGGAAAAATCTGCTCTGTTTAATAACTGATTCAATAAACTATTGACAAATGATTTGTATAATATAGTATGGCCAGCCAGCAAGGTTTGTCTCTGTCATTACACACTGCATTCAGCCCATCCGCAAATGTTGCACGTTCCCCTTATGTTAGAGCTCCGTATGCCGTTCTGAACAGCAACCCAAAGATCAATAGACTGCTGAAAACAACAGGACATAACAAATGAATAATTTTATTTACAATAAAAGCCCCAGCCCCAAATGGATTCTGCTAATGTTCAAATCCATTTTTCATGCTCAACTCGAGATGAGAGGTAGTAACAGCCCAGGCAAGGAGAGGGGGTGGGCAGAAGTTTTGACCATAGTGGTTCAGATTTACTTAAGCCATGAACAATAGCTGGGCTGCACTGAACTACATGAATAAAATGTTCACTGCAGAATTCTAAAGATGCAATCTCTGAAATGTTTCAGTTTTCTCACCAATACACTCTGAGAAGCATTTTCCAGGAACAAGAAATTAATGGATTAAAGACATTTTGACATATTTTTCTAGAGTGTTGCACCACAGAGGCCAAAGCCTATTCAATTGGCTTTAAACACTGCAATGAACAGAAGTGTTTGCTTTAGGTGGGGACCAGGAGGGACTGAAGTGGCTCTTTTGAGAGTGAAGCAAATAGTCTTGCTTTAAAAGCATATCTTCGGACCCTGATCTGACAGTTCATTTCCTCCTCTGAAAGGTATGAAAAAGTCAGTGAGCAAAGTCATAAGGAAAAAAAAAGGTTGACGGGTGGGGAGCAAAATGTTAGCAAGGGCGCAAGGTCAAAATGACATTTACAAGTCTTTCATGAATGACACATTCCTCAGAAGCTACCTAAACACTCTTTTTAAAAAGAAATCATCAAAAATACAAAATAAAATTTTCTGGTTCACATAAAAATGTCAATATTTTGCCTTTATAACATAGGCTTGTTCACTAATGAATTACCAAGCAAAAAAAAAAAAACAAAAAAAACCCACCCAAATGGAAAAGAATCTTTTCCCATCTGCCATCAATTCATTCACTGCTTTTAGACTTAACTTGGTACACTCATAAAACAGAAATGGAAACAGGGTTGTAATGGATGGAGATGAAGGGAAAGTTGGGAAAATACAGCCTGGACATAATACCAAAAAATCTGGAATAAAAGGGTGATAAGACTTGGCTTTGGTACGGGAATACTGAAAAGGCAGGATTTCAGCAGACTCTATTGCCCAATTCCATTAATCACAAAGAGCCGTATGCTCCTGGTGTTCACAGGTTCACTTTAAATTCAGTCAACAAAGTACTTTTGGATGCTAAGGAATAAAGATGTGCAAGAGCAGGTCTCACCCCCACTCCTTCCTAGGAACCAATGACTCAGGACAGAGATAAACAGGGATGCAAATGGTTGTAACATGAAGCAGATTTGGATACATGTTTGGCATGGTACCTGGAACAGAGTAGGAGCTCAGGAATAAACTACTGAGGGAGTCAACATGTGACTAACTAGCCAAGTGTCACTAAAAGGACAGAGTATTGTTTTCCTAAAAAGGGGGGACAGGTATCAAAGCACTTTGGTTGAAATGAAAAGGATGGAAAGGATCACAAGTGAAGAGGGTTGCAGGAGAAAGTGTGGTAATGGAAGCACAGCCCCCATTTAGGAAAGAGCTGGAAAGGTAATGAAACTTTATGGCTCAATGACTCAAGATAATGAAACTTTTTTTAAAACTTTGCTAAAGAGTTTGGGCTTTATCCTAAAAAAAAAAAAAAAAAGAAAAAGAAAAACACATTAGTTGTTTGTAAGCAAGGGAATGAAAGGGGGATATAATCAGACCTGTGGTTTAGAATGAGGTGTAGGCTGGATCGGAGAAGTCCAGACACGGGGAGGGTGCAAAAAATTAGATGACCTACCCAAAGGTGCTGAGGGAAAACAGAATAGAACACTGGGGAAAGCTGAAACCCAATTGCAGACATCTCACGTTTATTTTTATGAAATGTTAGTGGGCAGAGCTATCCACAGCTTCAATTCCCAAATCACAGGGCAAGAGAACATCCCTTCCTGCAAGCGAATAAGTAACTTATCACAATTCTTCTCACAGTTGTCATTTAACAGAGTTTACAAAGGTAAAGTAAAATAAAAAGTTACAAAATCATCACACAAAAAGGATTGTCTGAACACATTACCTACTGGCACTGAACCACTTTAAACATGGTAGATGTGAAATAGCCTTACAAAGTGTACTGATTACAAAAATGTTCCGGTTTTCACTGTTCTCATCCTCAGAAAGGGCTGGGTCCTTCTTGCTACCTTCCAAACAAACTGAGGTTTCATAATTGTAATACAAAGTTCCCTGTGTCCTTGGTTTTCACGCAAAGATATGGTAACTGACCAGAACTCATTTCCAAAATGGCAATTCCAGTGCCATCTTGGAGAAAGCTGGTCATCATTCACTACTTGCTCACTATTCAGTATAGACATTGCTCTAGAAGCAGACATCTCAACTTTTCGTGAGTTCAAAAATATGTATGACCCAGGTCTTACAAATCACACTTTCAGAGTTGGCTAAAAAGTCGAAAACTCAAGTTTCTTACTCTCAAGATATAAGTAAAAAATTCACAATGCAAAGTTCATCCCATTATTAACCATTAAAAAAAGAGTGCTACTCTACAACCTCAATTTTCACAGTCCAAGGAATTAAGATTTATTCATCTAAATTCACATTTTTATCCCAGGGCCCCCCTGTTCCTTGATAGAAGTCAATTAAAGCTGGCGCCCAAAGAGACATGGCATTTAAATCATGTTGTTTTGGCACTGGGATTCTCAGGCATTTTACTTAAAAATAAAATTTCTCAAAGGGAAAACACAACCTCAAACTTGCAGCAAAATCAAATGAAAAATGAAATGCTTCTGTTATTTCAAGAACTTCAGGTTTTTGAGAAGAACTCAACATAAAACTGGTATACAACTTAAAACTGTTCTGTTTTATAGGCATTTCTAAATCATTCTAACTTTCATTTTTTTACTAAAAATAATAAATAAAAGAATAAAATTTTCCAATATTGAGTATTTATAATTTAGGCTATCTTAAAAATTTTAAAGTTATATATCATCAAGAAAAAATGTACATATCATTTACTAGTTTGTAGCTGTGATCATAGTTTTATTAATTTACAAAATTAATTTAGTTAGAATATGAATACAAGGAATTTGGAATCAATCATAAAATCACAGTTATCTTTCGGGACATGTTTCCTTGTTTGTACTTTTTTTCAATGTATCATAGTCACGTGGCCAAGGATGATTATTCATAAAATTCTCAAGCACTCTGCAAATTCTCACTGAAAAAAATATAACTTACTCTAAAAAATATCTTGACATATTTGTAGATTTAGAATTACTAGAAATTTATTTCAAAGTAAAATCATGTCTCAGTGTGGAAAATGCTTGTTGCCTTAAAATATGAAATTGTATGCTTATTTACACTCTGCATAGTAAATTAAGCTAGGGGGAAAGAAAAAAAATTCTAAAGAGTCAGTACAAAAGTCATATGCACACAGTCATGAGTGATGCTTTCAACCGCATATAAATTACTCTCCAGAGCATTTCACCAATTCTGCTATGCCCACTGCAAAGAATAAAGCTCCTACTGGAGTCATAAGGAGGAAAGACTACAACTCAGTGGTGGGGAGGAAATAAAACAACTACCATGCACGACTCTGGACAATGACCTAGAAGCTGGGATGTTTTCCAAGAGAAAATGCTACGTCAGACCCTAACAGGAAAAAAATATTTTAAGCATACTTATGTATATGAATTGAATTAAAGTTCCTAGCTTGAATGATCTCCCAGAGGTAAAGAAACCAAGTGAGTCTCAAATCTTCATGTATTCATATCTTAATTCCACGTCACAAAAGTGCCACCCAATCTCTATCATACTATTAAAATTCACAATTGACAGGTGAAAACAAAGTGCCCATTCATTGGGACCATTTCAGAAGCACCTATTTATTTACTCAGCTACCATAGTGAAAAGGTCAAGCAAAAACTCACCTCCTCAGGCATTGTTGCTAAGCAACGCAACTCTTTTTCAGAAGTTCCACAACACTAATCAAACATGTTTCTGGTGCCACCAACTGGATTCAGAATAAATGTAACATCTTACCTGGTTTCTCCAAAGAGGGAGGGATGTGGAATCCTTGTTTACATTTTGGGACAGACATTGGAGGCCAACCCTGCATTCATTTGGTCTTTTTATTTTTCTTCTTTAAAACAAAAGGATACGTCCTGGTACCACAGGTTTCCTGTTCACGAGGGCAAAGGACAGTTCCGTCTTGAGAAACACCACAGAGGGCTTGATGAGATGTTGGCCGAATCTGAATGACATTTCTTCACAGCTGAAGTCTGAAAGAGAAGACGACTTAGGAAAGGAGTATTTATAAAATTCAAATGAGACACTCAGATTATATATCACATTAAAGAAAGCTAATTCCATTACTATAGATTCTCAGTGGAGAAGGAGACATCATTTAAGCTGTTCCCTATTTAAGGTCCAAAGATGTATACTGGGTAACTCCTCCTGAAATATGCCATTTTCCCTACCAGAGTGGCCCTGACTGGAGTTGCTGTTTTCAAGCAGAAGCTTACACATGGACAGCAAAACAGTCTTCTTAAATCCCTCTGCACTTCAGGTTGCCACCTTAACCCAAATCTATTAGGTACTTTTACTTTTACCCATCCATTTCATCATCTTTGCTAGGCTAAATTTTTTAATAGGTAAGCTTCAACTCCAAACCACCTAATTCTTAAATGCTTTCCTCAAAAGGTTTTATCTTTCTTAAGTACACTGTTTGAACTTGCCTACAATTACAGAAATGTGAGTATTCCCAGAGAACTATTATAGTAAAATTTCTAAAATTAAAGAGAAAAAAAAATGAGGAAAAAGGAAGGGGCAATATATAGTTCAGTTGAAGATGAGAACAGCTCCTGGTTGACAAGAGAGCCAGGGTGCAGCAAGGTATGTGAAGTGTTTTATATCCTCTTGTGGGGGGAAAGCCATGGTGGTGGGGAGGGGCGGAGATAAGGCGAGATTGGCACTTGACATCTAGGGTACCAAAGAATGATTTTCTGTCAGATGACTGACTATACATGAATAAGTTACCTTCTGAATGACTAAGACATGCCCTCCTTGGGAAACCACCTCAGTTTACTGATTCAGGAACAACCCTCCTCCAAAATTGATGAAGACAGATCAACCCATGGGGCAACAGAAACAGGATTACAGAAAAGGATGACATCAGAAAACGATTGACTATTTTATAAAGCACACCAATAAATGTGTTTAATGATTCTAATGTTCTCATTGGCCCAAAAGACAGAAGCACCTGCAAAGCCAGAACCTAATACATTTCTGATACAAAGAAATAAGATGGTAGGTTTGCCTTGTACCTGCTACAACTACTAGTTTCTAGAACATTTATAAACTATGTCATAAAAATAAGGATGTTGAAAGTCATCTAACCCAGTGGTTCTCAAGGTGTTTCCCTGGACCCACTGCATCAGCACCACCTCGGAACTTATGAGAAATGCAAATTATCAAGTCCTACTTCAGACCTACCAAACCAGGAACCCAAGGAGAAGGGCCCAGCATTTATGCTTTAATGAGCTGTGTAGATGATTCAGAATCTTTGACCAGACCCCTTATTCTCCCAGCCCTCGGGTCCTTTTTTCAAAATGCTTACCAAGAAGCTGGTTAGCCTATGCTTGAATATACCGAGATAGGAAGTTCACTATCCATTCCTTCTAACACAATCGACTCCAGCAATTACATAGCTGCCCTTCATACCAAGTTCACCTATTTGTCACAGATTTACACCATGGGGCCAAATGAAACAAGTATAATGCGAATGGCAGGGCTTCAGATCTTTGGAGTTAAACTTTAATCATTTTCCCTAGTTTTTCTGGAATAAACATGGCAATTCATTGCAATTATTTGACAAAAAAATTCTACAAATCAAGCATTGATTCTAGTCCCCTGCAGCTATCTGTGGTGTTTCAACTCCCCAGCATCAACTTTGTATAGTTCTGGCCATACCAACCACCCTGACTTTTCTTTGGGTAACATACTACCACCATATTCTCTATGTGGGGCTATTCCTATTGCTGGTTTTAGGGATGGGAAAGTAAGCCAGGCATTCTCAGTCCTCTGTCACATGATTGGTTCAGAAGGGGACACAGGACAAAATATTAGCCTTTCAAAAGGAGAAATATCCACGAGAGGGTTCCTGCTGATGTTGTGGGGAAAGGGCTTTCTTTCTGCTAAGTTGCCAAACTGGTGGGACATAAACCTGAAACAGCTGGAGGTCACACTAAAGACAGTCTACCTGATACCAGAGCCAACACTGAGAGGACAGCAGAGCCAAGATAGAGGCCCAACCCTGATGACACTGAACACCCAGCTCTAACAGTGCAGGAAGGAGTACTGTTCCAGGAATTTGTTTCCTCTTAAGGACAACTGTATAACATTGACTTAAGCATTGGCTCTGGTTGACGGGCTACTGTTATGTGTTCATGAACCACTCTTTTGGTTTTCAGTTTCCTCATCATCAGCTCCCCTTCATCCTCTATGCTCACCCCCCACTCCATCCTCTGCCACCACAGGCCTTCACTGTTTCATGATTATTGTATTTATAATCTTCACTGAATTTTTATACATATTTTATATGTCAAAAATACCTAGGGAGCTTGTATGTTGTTTTTAAATTTGTACATAAATTGTATCATGCTTTAAATCTCATTCTGCCTTTTTCTCCCAACATTGTTCGAGATGTTCATTTTGCTATAAATAGATGTAATTCGCTCTTTCTCGCTGCTTATTCTCTCACTGTACTTCACTGTGATTTTCCTTGTCCTTCTAGAGCTGAAGAGCTACCTTATCTCCAACTTTTTTTTTAATTAAAGTTTATTGGGGTGACAATTGTTAGCAAAGTTACATAGATTTCAGGTGTACAATTCTGTAATACATCATCTATATATCACATTGTGTGTTCACCACCCAGAGTCAGTTCTCCTTCCATCACCACATATTTGATCCTTTTTACCCTGATCTACCACCCTCTCCCCTCCTTACCCTCTGGGAACCACTAAACTATTGTCTGTGTCTATGAGCTTTTGTTTCTTTCTTTCTTTCTTTTTTGTTCTTTTGTCGTTTTCAGTTTTATATACCATATATCAGTGAAATCATATGGTTCTTGACTTTATCTGTCTGACTTATTTTGCTTAACACTATAATCTCAAGGTCCATCCAAGGAGATTCCTCAAAAAATTAAGAAGAGTTACCATATGACCTAGCAATCCCTCTCTTGGGAATCTATCCAACCTTTCACTATGAAGTAACACTGTGATGACCATCCATACGTACATCTCTCTGGGTATCTATGCTAGAATCCCATTATTGGGTTTTAGGTTATATACATAAATTTTACAACATATATGTAAAGTTTGCATTCCCAGAAGGAATACACACAGACTTCTGTTTCCCCATATCCTTGCCGGCACTTGAGAACATCTGATTTCCTGGCTTTTCAGGCAAAACGGCATCTCTTCATTGTAATCTGCTTGTCTCCACTGGGGTGTATGTATGCATATATTCTCCTCTATGAATTTCCACTTAATACTTTGCCCTCTTTTGTACTGGTTTCCTTTCTTCTCTTTTCTGATTTTCCCAAAGTCCCTTGTATATTCTAAATACTGATTCTGGTCTATTAAACATGACAATTGTATGTTCACCATCTGTTAGTTTTTCTATCATAACGTCCATGAAACAAAAAACATTCATTTTGATGAATTCATCAATTGTCTTGTTATGGTTTGTATTCTTTGCATCTTATAACAAACCCTTCTCTACCATAAGGTTACAAAAATATATTCTTAAATTTTCACCTATCAGCTTTATATTTTCACTCTTAACAGCTAGGTATTTAATCCCCTTGGAGCTGTGTTTATGGTATGAAGTACAGAAACGATTTCATTTTTCTCCTCTTGTGAACCAATTGTCCTAGCACCACTTGCTGGGAATGATCAACCAAGTTCCCATTTATACATAGGAATGAATATGGACTTTATTATATTCTGATTCTATGCCAGATGCTGGAGAACAGGAGCCACCAAATTTTTTCTCTGAAGGCCCAGATTCAGTGGACCACACAGTCTGCTGTAATTATCCAACTCTGTTATGGCACCATGAAAGCAGCCATAGACAACACATAAATGAATGATTGTGGCTGTGTCCCAATAAAACTTTATTTGTAAGCACAGTCCACAGCGTGGATTTGGCTTGTGGACTACAGCTTTACTAACTCCTGCTGTACAATGTTTATGCCTTATAGAGGGAGGATCCCTCTTCATTTATTCTCCTATATAAATTTTAGATTCTACTCTGTCCCTCAAATAAAAATTCTTGCTCAGATGTTAATTGTAATTACACTCAATTTAAATTTTAATGGGAGAAATATGACATCTTCACAATATTCTTTCAATCCATTTATGAACATTGCATTTACATTCCATAATACCTTAATAAAACTCTTATAATAGGGTTTTAAATTTCTCTTATATGTTTAATAAATTCTTTCTTAGATAGTTTTTAGTTTGTGTCACTATAATAAATGGCATCTTATTATCATCATAGTTTGTAATTGGTTACTCCCAATACAGTGGAAAGCTATTGATTTTTGTATGTTGCTCTTATAAGCTGGCAACCTCGCTGAACTCTAGTATTGCTAATAGTTTCTGCTGATTCTCTTTGGTTTTCTGTATACCGTTGACCCTTGAACAACACAAGGGTTAGGGGTACTGACCCCACACAGTCAAAAATCATGTATAAGTTAAGTTGGCTTTCCACACCTGCCTATTCCCAACCATAAAGGTGAAACCAGGGGTACAGAGAGGCAACTGTATGTTTATTGGAAAAAAGTTCATGTGGAAGTAGATTTGTACAGTTCAAGCCTATGCTGTTCAAGGGTTGACTGTACATGATCTTACTTAGAAAAGCGACAATACATTTTTCATTTCAGTTCTCCTTCTGTTGGTTTCTTTGTTTTACTGCCTTGGTCAGAGATCTGAGAATGTTGAGAAGTGGAAGTAACACAGGCATCCTTGTCTTCTTTCCAACCTTAAAAGGAATGAATTTAAAGTTTTGTGGGGGTTTTTTTCCATTAAGAATGATGTCTGACATAGGTTTTTAGTGAAAAGCCTTTATCAAGTTAAACAATATCTCTGTTTGAAGTTTGCTAAGGGTTGGTTCCATTTAAAAAGGAAAAAAAATACTAAATGCTTGTTCTTTATCATTGATTACACAATTTCTTCTTCTTTTCCATTAATGTGGTAGATTACAGTAACAATTT